ACTAGGAAAGAAGTCATTGAATTATTAAGTTAGATAGATCGAATATGTTTGAACAATCTGAAACCAAGAATTGGTGAGGGAAATAGAAAGATCTGGGACCTATATTCACTGAAAAATCCTTCATAGGAGCCATATATTGGTAATACCGAACACCAATTAATATAAGTTTCATAGTAACACTATGATGAAATAAGGCTGCAAAAGAATCAAAAAAGAAGATTCACAAAATGTGGAAACTTTCCACTCTGGTACGCAACTTACTACTTACCCAATAATATGAGTATAGATCTGATGGCACAATACATATCAGTAAAAGAATCAACTAAAAAGATATTGTTTAATTTACCTCAATGATGCAAGAAAATTCTACAAACAATTCTACATATAACTATTAACTGGCAAAAAGCTCTAAGGAACAACTTACCTCTCCTTTTCCATAAATAAGACCAGAAGTCCAGATCACCTTTTTCCCAGAGTCATGTAATGCAGGAAGCAAGACATCTTCCTGTTTCTTCAGCCAGCACTGTTAATAAGTGCAATTGAAAGTTATGATACTACTTAAGGTCTTAAACCATATGCCAACATCAATCTGCCAACAGCAAGGAATGAATTCAATGTTTCCCAATGTTCCTTAAATTTATAGACTAAGACCTCTTCAATCACTGAGATGAATCTGGGGTGATGTCACGAAAACACAAACGAAATCAATTAGTAATGAAAAACAGTTGGATGTCAGATGTCTTCATGAACATAATGTATATCTTCATTACACCATGGGCTACAAAAGGAGAGCCTTGAAGATGAAGCATTATGATTGTTATGCATTTATAACCACAGTAAATGTGATAAAGATTTGCCTGGATGGAACATAACTGCTCCTTTTTCAGGAAATACTTCCACCGACAAAGAACCTAAGTAGTTATTAGAATTTGTCTGACACTACCATGTTTGGTTACCCATTAAAAGCAAATATAAGAATATTCTTCTGATTAATATGGAAAATTTTGTTTACAAATCAAGTAACAAAGAAATGGTAAAGAATGATAGCCCTCTTCCTCAACAAATTACGAGAAAATAGGAACAGGATGTTCTCATCCCCCCCCTAACAAGAAACAAAACCACCATGCCCTGGTTTCAGTAAATAGTGCTATCATATGTCACTGTGATCTTCGCAAAGGAAACAGTCCATCAAGAAACGGAGATTTTGTAATTGCATTCTAAATTTAAAGTGGTAGGGAACCAATAGAAGTATATTGACCAATTTGCTTGCTGCAATCGATTCTGCCACTCACATGGAAAGGCAACAAGCAAGCACCCTAGAAGTGTTCCTCAAAGGAGCTTGACGACCATATGGGGAAACAAAAAAGCAATTATCTTCCCTCATGAATTTGGAGAAGCATGTGAAATTAGTTTCTTGATGTTTCTTGTATGTGAAGAACAAGCAAGGATTATAACATCGACAATGAAACAACAACTACATCAAATGAAACATACACAAATAATGTCTCTCGTCCAAAATCCTCTTTCAAATTGACGGATCTAATAAGCTTAATTCATGTGATATCTGGAAATTCTTGCCCATTGTTTCAAGAAACATGCATGATATCAAGAAATATGAGTTTCTTGATTCACCATGGCAAATTCGGTTGTATTGACTCCCTAGGAAAATTATCTTAAATTAGTAAAGGCCAAACCAGAAGTAACCACGGGTCAAGGAAACAACATATTCCTGCCTCGATCAAACAAGATGAACATCAACCATAAAAGTTTTTCCTTTCCTAAATATCACATGATGAACCAAACTTTTAATCAAATGCACCGTAATCCAAGTAAAATAGACAAAAGAGAGAAGAAAGAAACAAACTGACCTCCCCGAACCTGTCGCCGCACCGCTCCCTATCGCCGCAGAACACCCAGGAGTTACAGAGGCACGGCCCATCCTCGCCACACATGGACTTGCAAGCTCGGCAGCACTCCCTGGACGAGTTGAACTTGTGATCGGTGCCCCACTTGATGGCGGCCCCCCAGAGCTCCAGATGCTCCTGGCCCCTGCAGCAATCCTCGTCGCCGCTGGCCGCTCCCCTCCCCTCCTGCCCGGCACCGTCGTACGAATGCTCCGAGAATCGGGATTCCGGCCGGTGGAGGGCCGTCGACAGGGCGAGGTAGGCCAGGGGGCACGAGACGAGCACCGCCGCGACGAGGATCCAGAAGGGCCGCCCGCCCGCCTCGGTTGGCCTCCTCCCCATCCGACGGGATCGAGAGAGGTTTACTCTCTCTGCAAAAGGAGGAGGCGGAGAGAGTTGCTCTGATTCGAGGGATTAAGGCACGGCCACGGACGAGGAGGGAGGGTGCAACGAGAGATCGCTATATAGGCAAAGTCGTGCGCCACGAGGAAGGGCAAGTGCGGTTTAGTGGATGGAGGGATGACAATCCCCTGCATCTTCCCACCAAACATTGGCTTTTCTCGCTCTCACAAACGCCTGTGGATCCCGCTTCTCCGCTGGGCCCACTACATCTGAGACGGCAGGTTGAGGGGGAAACTGTGTGGCGTGTCTGAAAAGGAGAGGTGATCTCCGACTCGCCCGCGGCAGGTAGGTACCTGTCGAGGCTCTATCCCACTCATCGGAATTGGTGGGACCCTTCTGTTTCCTTTTTTCCGAAGTGGTGTAGGTGAGACGGAGACGGCAAACGGGTTGTGTGTTTCTGAGTATAAATTTTTATATGGTCTTTAATTTAAATCATAATGGGATATTTATTGATAGCTTAAAAAAAATGATATTTATCGATGAAGACTTGAAATATATACGGATAGAAAAATGGAAATCTAAACAAGCGTTTTACCTAATAAAATTTTCGCAATTAACTTTTTATCGGATGACATCTCGTTACTCATAAGATAATTTTTTATAAATAATAAAATAAATATATAAATTAAACCCAATTAAACTAATAATATTTGAATTGTTCGAAATTAAATCGATTTTACATTTATTCAATTAAAATAATCTGGTTATCTAATTTGGGTTACACTGCGATCGAGTGTAACCCTAGTATAATTGGAACAAAGGTTAGGCAATGATATATCTTTTCTTACTTTGTATTGATATCTCCTCCGTTTTTTATGTAATGATATTATCTTAATGACAATATCTTCTCGACGATATTAATTATTTTAAATCATTATCGAGCTTAAGTTCTCCTCGTCAAAGTAATGACTTATTCTTGATATTGGCTTGGTAAATCATCTTCAACCTTCACACAAGTTTATTTTTGTGATCAACTATTTTTATATGGTACGTGATCGAGTGTAATTTTGTTTAATTTTAAGTATAATTATATAATTTCAATCAAAACAATCTAATTTTTTATAAAATTATTATGTCATTATGCTAATATGATTAGCACACGTTTTTTAAAAGAATTTTATAAATTTTAATAATTATTATTTTTGCTAAGTGCTATAATCTTAATTTCAAATATAATTAGATCAACTTCAACTAAGTCAACTCAAATTTTCATGAAACTACTTGCCATAATCCTAATATGATTGGTATTTTTTTTTTAGAGGATTTTTATGAAAATTAATTATCAAATTTAAGATCGGTACTACTTTTTTATTATTATATTTTTTTTTTTTATAAATTTTAGTTATTAAATTTTAGGTTTCTTTATATGATAGGTGATCGAGTATAACTACGTCAACTTTCACTGAACCAATACAAACTTTTATAATATAATTCTAAGATAAATAGTACTATTTTACTTTCAAAATAATTTAAATTAATTTATTAAAATTTAATATTTTTTGAACTAGTATCACGATCAAATATAATTTAGTTTAATTTCAAGTATAAGTCGATAATCTTCTCCTAAACCAACCTAAGTTTCCATGAAAACACTATAACATGATTTTAAAATGATTAGTGCTATTTAAAAAAAAAAATATTATGATAATTAATTGTTAAAATTAGATATTTTTAATATATTCAATATAATTGAGTGTAATTTAGTTTAATTTCAAATTTTATATAATCACTAGGATGTGATTCTAAGATAATTAATAAATTTTTATTATTAGATGATTTTATGATAATTAACTATTAAAATATAAATTTTTATGAATCGTTATTATGATCAAGCATAACTTAGTTGAATTAGGAATGTAACTTGGTTAATTTTCATTAAATCAATCCAAACTTCTATCTATCGTATGATTAATATCACGTATATTTTAGATGATTAAATGATATTTAATTATAAATTTTGTTAGTGTAAACAACCTTAAGCCGTGGTCTCGGGGTCGACGCGGCTCAGTTCGGATCCAGATGACGGGGGATCTCTTAGGGGGGCTCCTCGGGATTGCAGAGGTCGTCGGCTCGGATTGGTTCGGTCGTGGAGGTGGGTCACCGTTTCCTTTGGGAAGGGGCTCCTCGCCAATGCGTCCAGTGGGAGGTGCCTCGTCTTCGTTCCTGCAGATAGGTCGGGTCGAGATGCTCGACCCACCCCTCCGATAATCAAGTTAGTTCGGGGCCGTAGGGGTTTTTTCGATGTTTTCTTCTCCTTTTTTCTTTTTTTCCCCTTGTTCGTTTAGAACGCAGGGGTATTTATAAGGGAGTTTAGTATCACCTGACGTGCCTGCCCGTAGGGAGCAGGATCGTGCCTTCTGATGACGTTTGACATCGCTATTGGCGTGACGTGAGGAATCGAGCCTGAACGATCGTTAATGCTGCATGGCGTGGCGTGCCTTCAACTAAAAAAAAAACCAAATCAATAAATCCTATGAGAACGAGGGGACCTCGATCGCATCAGTTCATCTTAGAAGAATCAATTAAGATATTCATCTTTATATATATATATATATATATATATTAATCATGCGTTTACAGGCTGTTAGCGAACCAATCAGAGAAGCATGGTCGGTGGGACCCACTTCTGCCATCAGGTGAGCCGAGAAGACCCTGTTGCAACTGAACAGCCGATCCCGAAGCCGGCTTGGCCACGCAGCCGTCGACCGCGGTGGACGCCCTCGAAAAGGAAATTAGCGAGGCAAAGAGACCGCGCACTGCGGGCCCGAGCACCGCCAGCGCGGCCCTCCCGGTTCCTCCTCCTCGGCCTCCCGATCTCTCATTTTATTCTCTCCATCTCCTCGACCACCGGGTGGGTATTGTTTCTCGCGATTAGGGCTTGCTAGTGCTTCGTTTGTTTTCCTTCTCCTCTTTTAATGCGATGGTAGCATTTCGATTGGTGTTCGTATCCCCCTTGCGTATGATCTCTTTTTCTTTTCGTTGTTCGAGAAATTTTCACTCAGGATTCCTTTTCTTTTCGAGATAGAATTTATTTCTGAAGTCTCGTCAAGCCGTTGATTGGTTTTCTGAAGTCTTCGTGAATATTCGAATCTTGAAGACAAATCTGCGAGCTTGCTCCTCGTTTAGTTTTCTTATTTGTAAAAGGTGTTCTGTTTCTTGGTTTTTGTGGTTTCAATTTGCTGTTTTCCAGATGATGTAGAATAACTATTAAAGTTACCTACTTGGGTTAGTGAATGTGTATTTCTTTCCTTGTAGATGAATTGCATTAAAGACGGAGATGATTATGAGGTGTGACTAGGCCCGGGCAGCCATATATCTGCCGTCCGTAAATGGGCTGTTTTCAGTCGAAGGGTCGACGGCATTTCCCAGGATATGAGGACCCCGTGCTTTTGGCTTCTCAAACGGCTTGTAAGTCATTTTTTGGTTATTATTCGAATCTACCTTAAAACTTTCTGTTATTGTTTTAGCTATAGGATCTGGTATTTCACTTGGTTCCTCATTAGATTGTAATATTTAATGTTCATGTTTTTAAATTTTCACTTGATATTTCACTTAATTCCTCATTAGGGTATTATAGATTAATGTTTATTGTTTTGTCATGGTTTTTAGCTCCATGAACAGGGTGTAGATTATCTTATTTCGGGAATAAAATTTTGGTTAAACAAAGGAGGTACACCAATCTCTTGTAAAATGATGGTTATGATTTGACCTGATTTCAGTTTGATTTGATTTCGGGTCTACATTTATAATGTAATTGTTTAGTTCATTAAAATAAAACTGTTCTATTAAGTTTTTAAGTTAATTTGAGGTCCATGTCCCCCTAAATTTAATTCTCAAGAGAATTCTTACAGTAGGGTTACCATGTTCGATACCAATTGAGAGTTTGATTCTGCAATATCTTTGATCTGAAGGAAATAATTGGATATATTGATACTGGAAAGGCAGTGGGATATGAAAAAGAAAAAAAGAAAACAAAAAGGTGCAAGTAAATCTTCAGAATGCATTTTAAATTAGTAAGATTTCAGGGAGTGAGATTCTGAGATAAGGATCTGATTATAATTTTTCTCATTTTCTTTTTCTCTAGAGAATTTAATTATCTTTGAGTAGAGGTCATGTTTGAGTTTAATAGTATGCAATTTGTTGATGATTTGAGAAATAAAATATCAGTTTTTTCTAATCCCTTTTCTTGTTTTGAGCAAGGATTACCATTTCTCATACCGGACCTATAGCAATCCTTGGTCAAATCGGTGCTAGTGTACTGACACATAGTGCCCCACTTGTATGTACTAGTGTTTTGAAGACGAAGAAGAAGAAGGAAAAGAGGAAGGAAGATGAAGAAAGAAGAGGTGGTGGTGGACAAAGAGGAGAATGAAACGGAGGAAGGGGAAGGAGGACGAAGAGAAAGGAAAAAAGAGAAGGTGATGGAGGAAAAAGGAGGAAGAGGAAGGAGGAAGAGGAAAATGAGGAGGAGAAGAGGAGGAAGTGTACTTGTCGGTGGTGCACAATGGGTGGCGGACGACGGCGGACGACGAGGGTGGTAGCATCAGTGTTTTTAAAAGCATTAGGCGTCAAAAGGTGCTAAGGTCCCAAAATGCCCGAGGCGTTCTAGAATATAAAAATATATAATATGATTATAAAAATAAAAATGTAACATTAAATTGAAAATATATAAAGTACCAAGTGACATCGTTCATCTTCTAATAACAAAAATGTCAAAACAATAAAGTTTTATATCAAATTTGGGATTAAAAGTGCTAAATAGGGACTAATAATAGTTCTAAATAGGGATTAACAGGGATAAATAAAGATTAATAGTGAGGATAACAATTCTAAATAGGGATTAATAGTTCTAAATAGGGACTAATATCAATTTTAAATAGTTGCAGTAGATGTAGTGAGAAGAGGAGTCACTGGCCTATGGTGGAAGGTGGCGAAGGAGTGGTCGACGATGATGGAGGAAGCTGCGGACGACAACAGTGACGGCGGAGGAAGCTGCAAACGACAACATCAGCGATGGATGAAGCTTCAAATGTGTCCGCTACTGGCGGAGGAAGTTGCTGACCTATCCTTAGCAGCGAAGGGAGTTGCATATGAAAGTAATAATGGCAAAGGGAACTGGGCATGAAAGCAGCAACGGTGGGAGCTTCTAACTTGTCTATTGGCAACGACAGGAACTGCACACAGAGACAACGATGACAGACCAAAGGTGGGTCGAGGTGGACTAAAGGTGGGTCGAGGCGGTGAGAGTAGTCTAGGTTTTGGTTGGGGGCACGGGGGTGGGGAGTGGGGTGTACTTACTGTTAGGTTTAGTTGGTTTGATTGAATCAACTAAGTTATTGTTCAATCGAATCAGAGTTCACAATCTGATTCAATTCGTGGCCTTCAATTGGGCGCTCGCTTGAGGCGCCCGACGCTTGGGCTCAAGCTACTGCCCAAGTGGTGCTTCAATGAAGCACGTCTCCTAGACACTCTGTAAGGTGCTCGGGTCTTACCTCGCCTCACCTGAGCGCCTAAGTGAGCACCCGGGTGTCTTTTAACAACACTGGGTAGCATGAGGTGAAAAGGCGCACGTGGGCGAAGAGGGCTCATGAACGTGAGCCCGAAAGTATGTTTATTAAATTTTTAAAATGATTCGAATTGGATCACCCGAAATGGGGGCACTCCGTGGACTAGTCCATCTGCTTTGTACCAGTCCAGGTGAAACATTAAACACTGGTTTTGGGTGATTCTTCTAGATTCTAAAACTTATAGTCTTTTATCTTCCTAAGATTTATCATAAAGCTTTGGCATATAAGAAAAGCCTTTCTTTGCTGTGCAAGATGAGTACATAATCAATATTGTGATGCATCTAGCTCTCAGATCTAGTGCAAGCTTTGAAAGATATATTTATTCCTTCTCTAGTAATAAAATGTATATTCTCATGTAGTCTTATATTATAATCTTTTTTTTTTCATTTTTTTCTGAAGCCTTAGTGATAACTTCTGAAAATAAATCCACATAGTTAAGGTTATCAAACAAATTGATATATGCTATATAAAAATTCTTTTGTTGTTTTTGTTTCCCCATCCATCAGAAAAAAAAAAAGCTCAGTGGTGGGTTAATATGTTTATTTTGTCCACTTCTGCTAGAAATTAAGTTCTTGCTATTACTTATGCATACTATATGTTTACAGTCACTGTCAGTGAAGTTGAGGCACTGTTTGAACTATTCAAGATCATTAGCAGTTCTGTGATTGATGATGGATTGATCAACAAGGTAAAGCACAGTCTGTTAACACTTCTATATTCTTTTGGGTCTGGTGAAGTTTTTCTGGTATCTCTTGTTTAATCATTTTTTGTAGTTTCTGGCATGTCAGTGACAGAAGTACTAATGTTAAGAAACTGATATTTCTTGGATTGTAGCTCTTCGTTGCACAATGATCGACCGCCATATAAAATTTTCTGTTTGCCATACTTCATGCTAAAATGATCAAAATGGATATTTTTGTGTAGATTTAACCTGGTTACTAGTGAAAATAGGGTACTAGGATTCATCAAGGGCTTATTCCAGGATCTCTTGCAAAACAGATGTGAGACCTTAACCAAAATTTTTGGTTAAATGAAACAAAGTCGGATGCCTTTGGCATTACTCAAGTGAAACAAACAAGTTCTCACCATGCATATTGGAGAGCTTGCATCTCATGATGCAAATCTCTGATTGGAGACTTAATAATAGCAGCTGATGGCTTGAGATGAGATCACATGTAGTTCAACATATAAGTACTACTTATTAAACTTAAGTCTTTGATTGTTACTTTTAAGCTTAATGTAATCCTTCATCTTAAGTTTGGGCTGACCACTTGATTCTCTAATGCAATTCTAGGAAAACTAAGATAAGTTCTAATCATCTGTTATTTAGATGAAAATAACCAACTATTTTCACCACAACATGCAATTCAAGAATGAAAACTTCAGAAACCATAACTAAACCAACTTGAGAATGAACTTTTTGCAAGATTTTACAACTAGCTGTTTTTAGTTAGTTATCAAACACCTCAACTGAAGCCTTACCCAACTTTCAGTGGGTTCCCTTGTTACTAACCTAGTCCTCATTAACAAATATTCTCATTAACAAGATTTTTTACCGGTAAAATGCAAATCTACATTGGTCTGATCACTGTACCTTTCACCATGTGATGTTTAATTTAAATGCATACAAGAACCATGTTAGCTAGTGCAAATAGTTCTCACCATGTCATTAGTATAAATTACTCGTAGATCTGGTGATCAAGATGTATTCGAAGTGGTCTAATCTTTGTATCTTCTGTGTTTTGCAGGAAGAATTTCAGCTTGCATTATCTATGAGCAGAAAAAAGGAAAATCTCTTTGCAAACCGGGTACTATATCAACAAGAGTTTCTTGTTTGCATCTATGCTTAAATTCTGCAAGCTGTAGTGTAGACAATAATAGTCCTTATCTGCAGTTTAGATTTAATCTGTGTCTTGGTTGCTGTGCGAATTGATATACCAATTTCTAATTGTCAATTGATGGTTGTGTCACATCAATGTAGGGGTTCAATATAATATTTGCTTTTTAAAATTCTGCTTGATGTTATAGTCTTATATTAACCTTTTCCTCACCAAGAAATAAGTATGAATTATGTTACAGTCTCAATTGAAGGTTGTGCCATTTTTATGTGTGTTTCCTAAATTCAAGGTGGAAAGGAGCCTCCCAAGCTAAGATTGAAATGCTAATTATCTAAACTAAAACAGATAGTGTATTCTTATACAAAGGGACATGTTAATTCAAGTATGAGCTTTAAAATCTTTAACTGTGTCTTTATGTGGGTCTATTAGCAATCAAATCTCCTTATCTAACTAAAAATGCAAACTAGTGTAGTTTATTCCTTCAAGTATAGAAAACATGTGTCAAATTATGCAAAAGATATTTATATACGTATATATATTTTTTCCAATGGCTGGCCAACCCAGTTAAGCCTCACAAGTTTTGTAAATCTAGGTTTTCACCGAACTAGGGTATCAGATAATAGCTCACGCAAGAAGATATGCTGAATTCAATTATTTTTAATTAGTGATGATAAAATTAAGGCTTGACTAAGATGGTTGCCCCAAAGGACTAAAATTGTTTGAGAAGGATCTGTAAGTAATACCATCTCTGGCCTTGCCTATCAACAGAATTTTTGTTGTCATACCTGACAGAATAATATTCATTGGGGGTCATTAATTGGCATTCACTGAATTTTTACTAGCATATGATAGTGGCTATTATTTTTCTTCCTGCTTGAATCATGAGCATTTATCTAATGCATATACATGTTGGAGATAAGCTCGTATTATATCTGGTAAGGAGTGCAGTTCAACTACTTTCCTAGTTTCAATTTGCATAATTAGTGTAATCAGATTGTCAGATAAGTTGAATATTGTTTACTGGTTTAACCTTTGAGATGCTTTTATGCTGGTGACTAATTACTACATACAAATGCAGTTATTTGATCTTTTTGATGTCAAACAAAAAAGAGTTATTGATTTTGGGGATTTTGTTCGATCTCTCAACATTTTTCATCCAAATGCTCCACATGAAGACAAAGTAGACTGTAAGTTTTTTTTGGTGTAGCAAATTGACTTGGTGGTAGAACCATTTTCTAAATCTTTATGTGATTCCACAGTTTCCTTCAAGCTTTATGATCTAGATGGTACAGGCTTCATTGAACGGAAAGAGGTAACTTGATATTTTGTGAATGATTTATATTCTAATTGGCCTCTATGAACTATGAAGTATAAATCCTCTATAAAATTTTGCCTTGTGAATAAATCACCAATATGATATTTTGCTATAGGAGGCCTTAAATATCAACTTTTTACCTTTGGACAGGTTATTCTTTTGTACTTACTAAGTCGAAGAAGTTTCATTTTAAAGGGAACATAAATCGTTAATTATAGCAAATTTGTTTTAGTAATTGAGACAGTATTTGTATAGCTTTGAGGCATGAAGGACAACTTTTGCAGTGTGCTAGTAACATGTCCTTGCATTGAGCAATAGAGTATAGTCAAAAACCTCATTGCACTTTTCATATGAGCTAATAGTGGTACAGAGAAAAATGGGATCAATTAACACTAGATGAAGCAAAAGATGTTTAACTGAATATTTCGTGAAATTGTGAACAGAAGAAGTAACTCGAAGAGAATGAGACCACAGCAACTGGTGAACTTGAATGAGAAATGGATCATATCTAGGAAAACTTGTGTTTTTTCCTTCTTTAGGAAAAAATATATACTTTTATAAAATTTGGTAGAAACAAGTCTGCCACTGGAACCTTTGGCCATATATTACTATCTGAATGATTGTTTCATATCATCTGCCAATGTACCGAAGAGGTTAGTCTAAAGAAACAGGTTATCTGCTTTAAAAATTTTGGAGAACAACCTCTTATGCTCCTTAAAAACATAGATGACCAATTGAGAATAAAAACAATGAACTATTCACAACCTAGATGTTGCAGACAAGCCAAAAAAAAAAAGTCCATTTTTGTTTTACATCTTTTTTAGTTAGTCAATTAGATATATTGACTTATTCTGTATGTTGAAATATGAAATAATATGGGAGTTGCCTATACAGCATCAACTAACCTTCTTCATGCATTAATTTTGTTGCGGTCGAGGTTTTGTGGTCAGTTCATTTAAAATTTGATGTAAGATGGACCTTACAACGTATTGCTGGTTTTGCAGGTCAAGCAGATGCTACTTGCATTGGTATCTGAATCTGAAATGAAATTAGCGGATGAGACTGTGGAGATTATTCTAGATAAGGTTTACAGTTTCTGATTTGGAACTACACAAATCTAGTTCAATTACTGTGTTTCTTACATATGTGTTATTTTTTAAAAATTTTATTTGAACAGACATTTCAACAAGCTGATGGTAATCAGGACGGAAAAATAGATAAAACAGAATGGAAAAACTTTGTCTCTCGCAATCCATCATTGATGGAGATAATGACTCTTCCATATCTCAGGTAACTGCTTCTTAACAAGGCCTAAAATATTATAAATTGCATACAGTAGGCTGCTTTATGTTATATTGCTTTTTGCTTGCTCATTGTGTTCTCCATAATATGATAAAGGCATACTATTTGATCCATTTTGTATCTAGTAAGATTGATAGAGAGCTACTGTACCTTTTCATATTCCTTTATAATGATGCACAATGCTCTTCTCTTGATAATTGTGCCTGCTCAACGTTTGACATTGGAAAGAATTAATTTTTAATGTGAGCTCATCCTCCTAAGTCATAGAAGGTTAACCAGCAATGAGCAACCACTTGGATGATTGGTGCATCAAAATCAGTTAATGTTTTGAAGAAAAGGGAGGAAAATAAGAAAACCAAGGAGTGGCAGAGGGGATAAAACATGCTAATATAGTAGCAACAATGCAACTATTACTACTGTAACATCTGATTTGTTGATGTGTCAAGATAAGACTGAAAAAAATGTTTTCAATCATTTACACTGTAGTGGCAGGTTAATAATGGAAAGAGATTAGAAACTTATGTTATGCAGTTGGGTTATTGGAGTCCTAAAGTTGATGGAAAAGTAATTTAATCGAATCTGGATCATTGATCAGTCCTACAGGAATATGGAGAAAACACAGAACAATAGCATGGGTAACCAGTCACATAGGTCTGATCATTGATCAGACCTATTTTCCATCTTCCAGTAGTCATGCTTTAAGGCTTTGTTATGTCAGTTCACTGCTTTGTTATATCATGTCTGTTCACTGCTTTGTTATATTATGCCAGTTCACTCCTTTGTTATACTACGCCAGTCTATTGCTTTGTTATATTATGTCAGTTCATTGTTTTGTTATGTTATGTCAGTTTACTGCTTTGTCTATGTCAAATAGGAGAATTAGACTGGATGAGACATTTGCACAGCTTCCATGTGTTGCCTACAACAGTATCTGGATATTTTGTCCAAAGTGTTGTCAATTAATACTATTGAAGACAGATTTAGTTAATCCAACAAAACCTTAACTTCAATATGTGCTTGACCAATCTTTGTTCCCTTACAATGAACTTGGAGTTCTGAATTCAAATTTTCATGTTTGTGCCTTTGTGGTCTTGCAAATATTGAAATTATGATGAGATTTGTTAATAACTTTATCCTTGAAATAATAAATACCACTACTCTGTGTGTGATTGATGGGTTCAAAGCAATATTTACAATATCATGTCGGCTTATACAAAAGCAGTCGTCTCTTGTTAACAGCTCACTTGATGTCCAATATGCAGGGACATAACCACAACATTTCCAAGCTTCATATTCAATTCTAAAGTTGATGACATTGCCACTTGAACCACATTGGCTGCTTATCGTCGACATTGAGATTACAAGCAACCGAGCAACAGCCATCTTTTACACGTGCAAACTATGAGCGTGTGTCGTCAGAGTTGCTATGGGCATTGATGTACATGCTCGCGAGAAAAAAATGCGAATTCCAGTTCTCTGTGTAGACTGATCTGCTAAAGTTTTGCGCTTTTAGAAGTTCCATCCTGGTGTTTGACCAAAATCTTAATGTATCTGTTCTCAGTTTCTTTTGCCTTGCCATGTACTCTTTTCAGATGCCTTCCATGTAGGTAGTATATTGTGCAGGGTTCACCAGTTCCTCTCATGTCATCAATTTTAGCCTTATCTACCTTCCCAATGTGTTCTGTCTGTGTCATTGCTTTGGATACCAAGTGACAATAATTGGCAAAAAGAACTCATCACTTTGAATGTGATACTTTTTAATATATATTGATCATTATCAGTGAAACATAATCAGAGCTTTTGGTGTTATTATCTTGTTTTCTTTTTCTTTTACATGAGGCTTGGATGGTACAAATAATGCAGACAATATAATTGAGTGCAGAATTTATTTCTCTTGTGCATGTTAGAAGCATTCCTTGTCAAACTAAAAATATTATACTTGAGGCATCAATCAATAATAAAAAAAAAATACTGGGATTAAAGTTTATATGCATGAATTTAATCCCTCCTTAAGGAACTATCAATGCATGCAAAGTTCGATAGGGTTGCACGCTACAATTTGGTCTGCAATGCCAGATATCGAAAAGGCCAATAGGAGCGTGCAACGTCAGCATTCTGTTGTGGGGTATGAGCTTGTTGGCCAAGTGCGATTCCAGGGGACACGCGTCGAGCATCGGGTGCTCGATGAATTGTTTCGTCTCGACAGAGAATGATCAAGATGCAATCACGTTCACGAATCTTATCTGATATCTGCTTTTAATTACACTTATGCCCTTCACTGTCATCCTGCTTTCCCTTTCGGCTATTCGACCCTATGAGACGATTTCGGCCTCCCTCCCTCTCCTCCCTCTCCTCGGAGAGGAATTGAGAACAAGAATTCTCGTTCCCCCTATAAACTCCTGGTATTCGAGCCGAATACCTTCTCATTCTTCTGGATATCGAGGGCTTTTTGGTACCAGATTTGGCGTTTTCGTCAGATTTTAGGGTTTCCATTTGGTTTCTTTACGGAATGCTGCGGTGAGTCGATTTCGAGCTGTTCCTTTAATTTGGGGGGCGGGAGTTTGAGTCAATCGAAGAGGAGGGAGATATGTATAGGGACAGGGGAGGGTGCGGGTCGAGGGTGGAGATCGGAGCCGTGGATCGGAAGCGGATCAACGATGCCCTCGACAAGCATTTAGAGAAGTCGTCGCCATCGACTTCGAGGTTTCTGAATGGAAAGGAGAAGGACAGGCTGTCGGTGCTGTCCACCTCCTCCGGGAAGCAGCCGGAGCATCGGCTCGTGTCCAAGAACAAGTGCTCAAATGGTAAAATTTTGCTTCCATCGTTATTTTTTTTGCTTCTTTTGAAATTCCTTTTCCAGTTTTTGATGACATAATTATGGCCTTAAAGATCTCTTATGTACAGATTCTCCCTCATATTATGGATTCTTGATCTGTTTTAAGTTCTTCACTTGTTTATATAAACTTGGTATGCAATTCGAATAGATGAATTCTCCTTTACCATGATGACTATCTTATTTTATGTGATACACTTATGCTCCTCTCCTTTTTCCATAACATATACTAATTCTCATTCATATTTATTGTTGATCTAGGATCATAGTAGGTCTCATATTCAGATATTCTTTTTATTATAGTGCTCATTCTTATCTCATATAGCTTTCATCATACTGTTTCCAATAAGCCCCTTTCAACTTGTACTATATCTTGTGGTACAGAAGAATCAGAGACAGATAGTGAAGAGTCAGATGTTAGTGGTTCTGACGGGGAAGACACTTCCTGGATTTCATGGTTTTGTAATCTAAGAGGGAATGAGTTTTTCTGCGAAGTTGATGAGGAATACATACAAGATGATTTCAACCTATGTGGGCTGAGCAGTCAAGTCCCATACTATGATTATGCTCTGGATTTGATCTTGGATGTTGAATCTTCTCATGGTAAGCATGATTGCCTTTATGTTTATCAAGACTTTCCTAGTTGGATGCAATTTTTTTTTCTATTTCTATCTGTAATGGTTAATGCATTATTGATAATCCCAAACTTTTGGATCCTAATCATTTGCTGCTCTTAAGAAAGCTTGGAAAGCGAAGTATATATAAAATGCATCCGCTCACTTCAAGGATAAAATTATGTTTCTCTTATTTAAAATACTTGAATGTTAACCTATCTACAAATGGGTAAAAACGTACCAAGGGCAGAATTACTGGGCTGTTTCTTTCTTTTTAGCAAAAGTATTATAATATTTTGGAAAAGTATGCTCGTTGTTCTCCTGTTTTGTTCTTGCTCTGCAAAGAGTAACACAATGATAAAGAAAAGTATTCTTGTTATCAATGATTTCTTTCTTTTTAAGATAGCAAGCAGTTCTGATTTTATCAAACTTTTGTTTGCAGGAACCGTTTCTACTTTTTGGAAATATTAACCTAGACTCATTATAAATAAGGTTGATGAGTCCCTTATCGGGAGACAATCTTAAGAAATGAATGGTGTTTTATATGTTATATGAAAACCAATTCTTTTTAGTAAAGGGTTATGATAGAAAACATCACAGATAAAGAAATACTTTAGTATTATGGCATACTATTGGGTAAATACTTCAAAGCTTTAATTTAGTTCATGTAGTCATGCATCATATGGCAAGCCAAAACAGATTGACAGAGGATTGTGGCAAGCGTGATGTACTAAGCCTGCCACAGGAATTAGGAGTAGAAATAATGGCTACAAATTTATTAAATGGTTTGGTAGTAACATATGGAAATCAACACCATATATTATAGGTAAACAACAACTTTCTTCTGGGGAGTTTTGATAGTGATTGTTCCTTGCATAGGAGTGTTCCAGTGGCTGAGGTGGACGGATGAGGGAAGGTATGCAGGTGTCTAACTGATAGGGTAAAGAACAGTGTGATGTGATATTGTCTTTGGGGTTTTTTAATTAGTTGGCAGTCAGTTATGTATTTTGAATAACATTTTTGGTGTTTGGAATGGGAATTATCTCCTCCAATGCGACCGGCAGGTCTAATCAAACCCCAACTATGAACACCAACCCGTTCCCCCACTCCTGCAACCTAACTCATGCAGACACACACTAAAAGAGGAAAGAAAAAGGTGCAGAACATGATATATATGTGATCAAAATGTTCTATAGCTTACTCTTGAGATAGGATGATATGTACTTTCATGTCTACATCTTATTCTATTCAGGTTTTTATCGCTACTGTGTTTATTGCCTTATTGCACCAATACGTTATGTATACTTCTTTTCTGGAAATTGTAGTCAGGAAATCTCAATGGATTTTTTATATGGGCAGGTGACATGTTTACCGAGGAACAAAATGAGTTAGTTGAATCAGCAGCTGAGATGCTTTATGGTTTGATTCATGTTCGATACATATTAACCAGTAAAGGAATGGCTGCAATGGTAAGGTCTTGCATAGTCATATTTTTTGGTCTCTTAAATGGTTCATCATCAATGACCCCTCATAACGGCAATTTCTGTAGCTAGAGAAATTTAAGAATTATGATTTTGGAAGATGTCCTCGAGTTTACTGTTGTGGCCAGCCCTGTCTACCTGTTGGGCAGTCGGACATTCCTCGATCAAGTACTGTGAAAATATATTGTCCCAAATGTGAAGATATATTCTATCCAAGATCGAAGTACCAAGGCAGTATCCTTTTCCCCTTAGCAAAGTTTTCTCGAAGTATCTTTCATTTGTAATGAAATCCTTGTAGTAATATGCTTTCCATGATATGCCACTTTGCTAGAGTGATTCTGCCTGTCTGCAATTTCAACATATACATTATTTTTGGTCATTTTCTGGAACACTATTCTGCCAAAACACCAAGCACGTGGAGTAGTAATGCATGAGATGTGATTCTGCACCATCACTATTTTTGTGTATTTAATTTATGCTACAGAAATTGTTCATTATGTTTTCTCCTGAAATTTACAACTATCTCATAACTGTTTTTTCAATTAGTTGAAAAATAAATGTGCACTAGCTGCACAGTTACCTTAATTCTATCTATTGGAATTGACTTAACCTTTCTTAGATATTGATGGAGCTTATTTTGGGACGACATTTCCTCACCTGTTTCTGATGACTTATGGGCACCTCAAGCCACAAAAGCCATCACAACGGTATGTTCCTAGGGTATTTGGTTATAAAATTCACAAACCATGACAGTGGAGTTGAGCGGCCACACAAAGAGAATTTCATTTGTATCTGGAGGGGTTTCGGAATGCAGCCAGTGTTGACCTGTCCTTACTGTTAAGAAAATATCTGCATTGGGCTGTCCTATGTCAAATTATTTTTATCTTAATCTTGTAACTACTGTACAACCGAAACTTTTATGTTTGATTATTAATTTCTATCTCTTGATTTCAATGTTGGTCAGTTTTATATTCTTTGACCTTTTGCATTCTGTGTCAGTCTATTATATCTAGTCATCTTCCATGCCACCATGACATGATACAAAATTCAGAGATTTCTGTGGTCATAGACCTGTGGTTTTTACCTTGAACTTTTTTGGAAATCTTATTTCAAAGCTATAATGCTGCAGCCATTTGTTACAGTCTTGCTGGAATTCCAGCCTGCAAAATATGCTTTCATTTGGAAAATAGCCAATGCTTCATTTGCTTAATGCATCAAGTATATGTTCATATTTCCTGTTTTCAAGAACATCCATTTATGTGGTAACAGTTAGCTCTCACTGGTCCCACATGCAATGAATGCACTAAGCTCATTATATATCTTGTAGATATTCTCTTCTCTTCATCCCTTTTATTTAATTAAGAAATGTACGATAATGTATTTTTTGCTTCCATTGGTGGAAGCACAAGGGATAAAATATGCAATCTGTACTTTGATTTGCATTCATTTAGAGTCAGTATGGATTTTGATGTAGTATTGTGTGATACATAGTAACTGCTTCCATGAATTTGGCGGAAGTTTGGTAACATAATTTCTGTGATACATTATTTTATTGTAGTCTTCATGAACTAACAAATCATTACGATCTCAGGTTTTTTTTTAAGAGAGAAGTTGCTTCATCTGTTTCTCATGTTTTGTGAAGTATGATAAGGTCAGATGCCTAGAAAATTATTATATCTCACTCTAAGGGGACAGAAGCATGGATTTGGGTGATGGACTTGTAATTAAAATGCTCCTGTTTGCTCTTTCATGTTAAATATAAGCCATAACAGTATAAAATAAGGGGAGGTTGACATATCATGTTAGCTTAAAAAAGTCTTTCAAACAGAATCTTGGTTTAATTTGCAAATGATATAGATGGCAGGTTTGTTTATCTTGACCATTTTGTTTTGTCTATGACAGCATAACTATTTGTTGCTTAAGCAATAATTGCTAGCTTCATATGTTTTGATCTTATCTACAAGTTCTAAATAGGTGCAAGATCTATGTTTATCCATGCATGAGGGATGAAGCTATTGATTGGTGTTACATTGGACATGGACTACTTGCCAAGACATCCTATGAGGCAGCTTATGTGGTCAGCTAGGTTCATATATGGAACATGCTGACAGAAAAGGACAGCCAACTTATCTGTCTCATAAATTGTCTCATTTTACATAGTGGTAGTGAGAATACCAATTGCAATACGAGGAAAAAAATTCATATCTGTTCTCAAAAGAGTTGATTTAGGACAGATGTTAATCAGCAATTAGTGTTCAGAGATGTTCTGACAATTATTCATGGGATTCTCTAATCGACTGTCCTTCCTCTACTGGCGAAAGGGGGAAGGGGGAGACTCTCTCAACTCATGTCCAGCAGCAATATCTCGCTTCTAGTCGCCTCTCATGCCACAGCACCGAGCATCTCTCACCTTTTCATCCCCCCCCCAACCAAACATACTTTCAGTGCGTAGAGGTAGAAGAAAGAAAGTTAAAAGAAAAAGAGAAAGAGCGGCCCATCTTGAAGCTACATGACAAAAGAATTGCTCCCTTTTATTTTTTTGACATCCCCAACCTTCTCTCGTCCCCTGTGATAACTGGAGGACTTTTTCCTACTTTTCATTTGAATTCAACCCCATCCCTTTCCACTCCCCTCAGCCTTCCTGTCTAATCCTTGACATTATCACACCCTCACCCCTCCGGACAAATCGATGAGAAAGAACAGAGAGCAGTGGATAAATATGGCTGTGTGTGTCTGGTAGAGAGAGAAACCAAAACCAGAGCAGTCGCGGGAAATAGGAAACCACGGGAAGCGGAGGCATATGCAAAGCTCAAGTCTTGTTTTATTTGGAGTGAGAAGAGAGATGTAGACTACCTTGCGCTCCTCATCATGAAGCAGAAGCAGCAGCAGCAGCAGCAGCAGTCGCAGGCCTTCTTTTGATATATTAATGCCTCATAAGAAGTTGGACAGGGAGACCGGCAAGGAAAGCTTCGCCCCCTCTTCCTCCTCCGGTTTCGAGCCTCTTCGTCCTCCGCCTCTCCTCCCTCTTTTTCCCTCGTTTGCCCCTCCCACCCTCGATATCCCGGACACCAACTCTAACCCTAATCTTGATTCCCCTTATGGCCTCTCCGTCCTCCACAAGCGCTCCATCATGACCCCCTCTGCAGCCGCCTCATCCGCCACCGCTGCCGTCACCTTCCCCTGCGTGGCTCCCCGGCGCCTCGTCTCCTCGGCCGCCCGCCGCATTCTCCGTCATCTCGACCTCCGCCTCCGCATCTTCCTCCTCCTCTCCTTTTCCTCCCTCTACCTCCTCCTCTCCTCCTCCGGCGCTGACGGTAGCGACGGCGCCCCTGGCCGCTCCTTCCTCGTCGACTTCTTCTCCGCGATCGCCTTCTCGTCCCTATTCCTGGTCCTCTGCGTCTCCCTCAACGCGCTCCCCTTCCGCTCCTTTCGCCTCCTCCTCTCCCGCTCCTCCGCCCTCCTCTTGCCACGCCACCACCTCGAAGGCCGCCAGGCCCCCGCGAGCCCCATTCTCTGGTCCATAGGCAGCTCCTCCTCCGACAAGCCCAAGACCGACCACCGCCCAGTCTCGGGGTTCAACGCTCAGCTTTACAGCAACGGGGATGTCTACGAGGGCGAGTTCCACCAGGGGAAGTGCTCAGGGAGCGGGGTGTACTGCTACTACATGAGCGGCAGGTACGAGGGAGATTGGGTCGACGGAAAGTATGATGGCTATGGAGTGGAGACCTGGGCCCGGGGGAGCAGGTACAGGGGTCACTACAGGCAGGGACTCCGGCATGGGTTCGGCGTGTACCGGTTCTACACAGGTGATATGTATGCCGGAGAGTGGTCCAACGGGCAGAGTCATGGATGCGGGTTGCACACATGCGAGGATGGGAGCCGATATGCTGGAGAATTCAAGTCGGGTGTGAAGCATGGGCTTGGCCACTACCATTTCAGGTACATCTTGAAGTCTTTCCAACATCGTTCTTGGTTGCTTACTAGGTGTGCAGAATTTTTTGCATCTTCGATGTGCAGACCAGAATATTATTTTCTTGGATTATATGATCTTGAAATTTTCAAGATATATGTGTGCTTGCGCCCGTCTCATTTTCTTTTCACCATCACTTGCTTGCAATTTTTTGCATCTTGTAGTATAATTGAATAGATGTACCGAAGACTCTTTGCTCAATTTCTTCATACCATCACTTGTAACTTGTGATAGGAATAAGCAGTGGACTCCTAGTTTTTGTCATTTCATACCATCTCTTCTGACTTCTGATAGGCATTAGCAGTGGACTTTTAGTTTTTGTTTTTCAGATGTATTTGTATTACCTGCATTCTGATTGCATGCAGAAGACACCCAACATAGCACCTAGTATCTACTCAGCTTATCTCTTGAGAGATGCATGCATGCGAGCGTGGCATCGAAAGACACCGAACATAGAAGCTAGTGTCGGCCAGTCTGATCTCTCGAGAGTAGAGTAGCTCCACTCTCATGTGTCCCATACTCTAGAAGGAAAAGCATAGTCCTCCTTATCACTCAATTAGACCCCAAAAGCAATGGCCTTTACAAGCAGGCAGCTACACCATCAAACAACACCATGCAGAGATCCTTACGCGTCGTATTGCATAAGTTTGATTCAGTTAACTACTCAGGATGATCCCCACAGAGAACATTGACTTATGAAAGGCTTGTTGAATCCTTGATTCAGAATAAGGAATGAAGGGTACATAAGGATATCTCGAGATATTAGGGTTTCCTTACTTAAATGATTATGATATTAGTATAAGTTGGATTAATTTATTAGTAATTAAAGCATTTGCACCATACTTAACTGAATATGATATTAAAATTTATCAAACAATTATTCAAACTATTGCACCACAGGTACGAATCATAAAAAAATAAACATGGACTTAGATGGATATGCTACGTTTTGTATGGTCTATTTAACTGGGCATGTTTTGGATCTAATGGTTCTGTATTTTATGAAGCAAGCAGATAGCAAAAGGAGGAAAATTAATTAAGTACTGAAGATGATTAATTAGGTGGGACATAAGTTCATGGCTGATGGATGCAAGCCTGAGTTTCACCGCACATACCCAGATTGTCACGGTACACAGCAGTCACACAGTTCAGCACAGGCTCTATGCCAGCCCAGTGTTTTCCCTATCTATGCTGGTTGGCAGGCATGTGTAGTCGGTAGGTGGATGTACATAAAGGGCAAGTTTTATGAAGGAAGAGAAAAAGTTAAGCACCACCAAGGTATGCTTAAATGTGACTACAATTGCATGCTTCCAACATCCAGATAGGCAGTATGAATAAACTCAACAATCAATTTGCTTAGTCAACTTTTAGAATGATTCTATTTTGTTTTTAGACAAGACTCACTTCCCAGTGAGAAGGACTTGTGGATTTTGTAGGTGTACCCTAGAAGTAGAGAAAATAGTAACGGAAGAGCATAATGATGCTAGTAACATAGTAGTCTAATAACTCATGCAAGTGGTCGTGTGCCAAAATTCTCTAGATAAAATTGTTCGTGGTAGGTTATTTGGTTTAAATATAGGAGTATGTACTTACCAATTTAGATATTATGATTTTCTGCATTCACATCCCTAATGTCATTGCTAGGGTGCTACTATATAACCTGTGAGTCTTCTTTGGTTGCATTTGCGAATACATTTGTATTTTTAATATGCAGTTGGAAAAAAAAAATGTGTATTGTGGAATGTTTTTTGTGTTTGGTAAATAATAGATGAAAACTACATTGTAAGTATGCATTGACGTAAGTATTGTTTGGTAAAATTATATTTCAAAAGTCCATAGACTTTTTTGTGACAAAATTTATCCTTCTAATATTTATAATATATATTTAAAAATGGATACATATGCTTTATGTAAATTAATAAGTAAATAAATAATTGAATGTATGTAATCTTATAAAAAAAATTATGGCCCAAATATATAATAAATAAAAAATATATTCCTATAAAATAATATTTAAAAATAAATAAATAAAATTCCACCTTATATAAAATATAAATCAGGTAGCTTTCTCGTTAAATTATTTTGACAATCTTGTAATTTTAGATAATGTCATAAGGTATTTTGGGAATTTGAAATATTACATTAGGATTCCGCAAATGTTGAAATGATAATGCTACCTTAGCATTTGAATATTTCTATTACAACATCCAGGTCAGATGCAATTTGAAAAAAAATTATCAAACACCAATCCATATTTTGAAATGTGCGTTGGGTTCAAATGTGTTCTCAAACGAACCCTTAATATTTTATTTAAAATAAACCTTGATGTCTTCTTATCATGTTGTGCTCAATTTTTTTACGGGGCCTCCTTTAATGAGGCCAAAGTTAATACAAAATTGTTAGCAAACAATTTAAGAAAGTTGCAAGATATCTTTGTAATCATTCAAGTAACCTGTTAATCTAAAGAACTTGTATGGGTTTCTATGTGGATCAAAATATTTTAATCCCCATGTTTAAGAAGGCCAGTTAATCCATACATATAATTTCATAGATTCTAGTTTTTTAATTTGAGATAGTAGGCATGTGATGGTGATCTAGGATAAATATTAAAATGTAAACAAGTCTTTTTTCCTGTTACTACCTGGAATACTTGCTGATCTCTTTTTTGTCATGAAATTACGTCAGGAATTCCCCAGTATTAAGTCGCCTGCTTAATCCGTTCAGTATGATATATTATGCGTGAAATATTTGTTTTTTTTTTTCTAAGCTGAAGAACCTTGGTCATCAGATGTTTTTATTTTTTATTTTTTTCCTTTTTTCAGTCACTTAATTGTACATTGGTAGCATCTTTTCTTCTATATACACACCATCATAGACAAAACGAACTTCAACTGATAACACCTATGAAGGTCGTGCAATGATTGTTATACATGGCTTCCATTGCCACATTGCTGTATTTTGGCACTGATTTTTCACTTAACCTGTGAAGGAATGGAGATACATATGCTGGTGAGTACTTTGCTGACAAGATGCATGGATTTGGGGTGTACCGTTTCGCAAATGGACATCAATATGAAGGTGCATGGCACGAGGGCAGGCGACAAGGCTTGGGAATGTACACATTCCGGAATGGGGAGACACAATCAGGTCACTGGCAAAATGGTATCCTTGAAACTTTGAGCACTCAGAGCATTAATCTTGGGTCATCAATTGCTGTTAACCATTCAAAAGTACTGAATGCAGTTCAGGTGATATGCAAGCTCCCGCTCCCTACGCCACATAATTGTTTAGGCATCAAACAATCTGTTGCTGCTAATCTAATGTTTACTTGTTTTCACTGTATCTAATCTTCAGGAAGCTCGAAGAGCATCAGAAAAAGCTTACGATGTGCCTAGGGTTGATGACAGGGTGAACAAGGCTGTTGCCTCAGCCAACAAAGCAGCCAATGCAGCTAGAGTTGCTGCAGTAAAGGCTGTCCAAATGCGAATCCCTAATAATGGAAACCACACCGTATGAAACATTTTTCACTTTCTTTGTATAGGACATCTATAACTCTCAAGAGTTCAAAGCTTCTCTGCATAAAGCAAGTCATGCATGTCCAGAAGAGAGCATCAAAAGAAACCTCTCCGTGACCTGCTATGTTTGAGCTACCTCCAGTTGTCGAAGACAGCCGACAGAGAAGAAGCATGCACAGAGATGTATGCCTTCATGTGCAGGCTAGACGTCATGCACACTCGGCGATTCTACGTGAATGGGCATTCAGTCGAGCGCTTTGCTGGCATGTAAAAATGCTTATGGTCTGCCGCTCCGTCCTTGAGCTTCCTTGGTTACCGTTCTCCTCGGCCTCGCTGTTGGGCCTTCGGGCCATTATTAATCCTACCTAAACATCGAGTATCTTCTTGTGGTGGCTTTGTTCGGGGATTTCTGTTTGCCGTTTTGCGGCTTACCAAATATTCCGTCGCTCCTATTCTATATCCTACATTGGAATAAGGAGATGAGAACGGGCAGTCGCGGACGACCTCGTGTTGTCGTGGTCTCCCTATCTGTGCACGTCGTCTTGTGAGCGAAAGTGGGTGATAGGAGGCGGCCACATTACCACGTCGGGGCCCCACGCCGGCCGCGCCAATTGAAGAAGCGAAAACTAGCGGGAATTCCTCTGGTTGGCCAGACTCGTTGCGCGCATGAGGTGGACGTGCTTACCCTTTCGAAAACGTCCTTTACGAAAAATAATTAAAATTCTTTTGACGTGGCTGTTTCGCACTGGCAGCCGTTTGTGTTTCCTGGTTGGCTGACAGCAGAGCGTTTTCACAAATTAGATGGCATGACATGTGAGGTGGCGTCCGCCGCACGTTGTCGTGTTCCCAAACTTTACTTTCGGGCCGTTCATCAACCCATCACCCCTCTCTTGCGCTCGCCACGTGGTGGGACACATTATTTGGTTCGCCTAGCAGAAATAAAAATAATAATAATAAATATATCTGAAAATTGCGGAGAGAAAGCCACAGGGCAAAAGAGAAGAAAGCCCGCCGCCCACTCGCGATCGCCGAGCGGACGGAGGATTCCTTCGAGGCAGTCATCTCGCGTCCTCTTCACTTCGAATTCTTTACTGTATGTGACCTGTCTTTTGTTCCTTCTCGCGTTCAAACTGTCGAAGGACCGGATTTTGTAAGGACTCTGACCTAAATTCTCGTTTCTAGGAATTGGAGATATCGATCGAGGTGATTGGTACTTGGAGGGGAAGGTTGAGGGATCGATCATGGCTTGTAAGGGGTTCTGGGAATGCTTGTTGAAGCTTCTCAACTTTATCTTGACGCTCGCGGGGTTGGCGATGGTGGGATACGGGGTTTACTTGCTGGTGGAGTGGAATAAGGTCGCTTCAGGCAGCGACGGCGAAGACCCGGCTTCGCCGACGAGCAGCGATTCCGAGTTCTTGAAGCTTGGGCGTCCCATACTTGTTGCGGTGTCCCTTTCGTCGAGTTTTCTCGATTATCTCCCCAAAGCTTGGTATGGGATACTTCATTTTTGCTTTCCTTCTCCGAAGGAATTTTTGTTTTTTCTGCTGGAATTACCTTTTTTTTGTTGGTTGATGCAATCTATCATCGAGCGAGTTAAGCTTGTCGCCTCTATTTTTGTTTCACATATTATGGGAAAAGACAATTCGTTTTTAGATGGTATAATAGCGCTAACAATTATCTGAAAACCTTAATTTTTTGGGCAAATTCGCTAACTTTTCAGTGAAAGCAGAATCAAACTCTTGTCGTAACGCTGGTTAAATTTATAGGCATCTGTTACAAATTGCTCAACCTGATAGATCGTACTCTGAATGATACTTGACTTTTGTAGACGTCGTGCGTTTGGATATGGCTAGATGCTGAACTAGGTCACAAAGCACAAAGCAGAAAGTTGAAAGAATGCTACTAATGTGTATGCTTGAAAGACTCTTCCAATCTACTAATTGAGAGTGTCTTGGTTTAACAGCTTTCTCTTCTATGACCTATGTGACCAAGGTTTGAGCCATGAAACCAGTTTCTCTCGTAAGCGACCTTGTGTATAGCTTTCACCCTTCTAAAGCATTTACATGCTCATTTTTTACTTATTCTTGAGGATCTTATCTTTCGTACAAACCGCCATTCTTGCTACCTCACCACCTGCTCTGCTGAAATAAGGAAAATACATATATGCACTAACACTGCACAATTGCCAGTGTGAGTTATATTCATTCCATGCTGAGTTATGCTGATTTAACACATTTAACACGTTGCCAGTGTGAGTTATGTTTGTTAACTTCATCATTCAGCATAGTATCCATTGAAAATAGAATCATCTGCTAATGATTTGAAGTTTGAACTCCAATGGCTTGCTGCTAAAAGAGTTGTAAACAGAAACTACATTATGAAGTCAAGGCAGTTTTACTTCTGGAAAATTGAGGATGGACCTCTGTGCAACAGATTTGCCCTTTTTATTTATTGATGTAAGATTGCGTAGGTTGACCTTTCCAAGACCGTATATTGGTGGGGACCTCATCCACTAGATTTGCCCTTTATAGTACTACCTTCCAATTCGATGACTCATACAAGGAAAGGATGTGTCTGCAGATGAACAGACGTGTCAGACATACCATCATATGCCTGATCTGGATGCCGCTAACTGTATCTTCAACGTACCTATTGGATGTAGTCCACTCTGCTGAATGTGCTTGCAGCATTTAACTTGAAAAATAATTGTTGTATTCTGTGCTGTTAGAGTTATGCTGCAGAACTTTTGATCCCACCACCTTTTATGTTGGTCGAGTTGCAGTAGCAGTTGGCTCATTTCTATGTTGCCTTTCTTGCATCTTTTCTTCTTAGAGTATAACATTTTGAATTTGTTTTGTTGTTTTGAGCTATGTCTTTACGTATACAGCCCAAATTTGTGTCTTGGCTCAATTTTTTTTTTACTTTTTTTCTCTATATCCTGTTCTTTGACCTATCAGTTGCGCTTGTTGGTCAGTCAGACTAATAATGTGTTGTTATTGAAGGTTCATTTATTTGTTTATTGGTATTGGGGTTGTTCTATTTGTCATATCATGCTTTGGTTGCATTGGAGCAGTTACAAGGAACGGGTGCTGCCTGTCTTGTGTATCCTGACTTTTTAAAATGTATATTCATATTGTTTTTACTTGTATTTATGTTCATTTGATTTTGCATGTGGGTGCGTTCTATTTGCCATAATTACATTGTACATCCTATTACATTGCTAATTAGTTTTTTATTCATCATTCAATGTGAAAACATTGTAAAATGTAACAAATTATTTGTTTGTCAAATGATGTGTTGGCTATCAGGCAATCAGTTTGTTTGTATCATCCGTGTGAATGACAAAGGATTCATTATGGCCATTAACAAAGGCCATGGGTCTTCCAACTGAAGTTCGGTTCCGGATAAACAAATTTTGAGCCCTATGATTAACAGCAGTATGCAAGCACCGTAGAAAGTTTGGTTTATGATTAAAGTATATAGAACTGTTCATATGAGATAATGTCATTCATATAGATAAATTCTGAATGCTTTGTTATCTTTTACCAATTGATGTATTATCCATTCTTGCTTAAACAGACACTCTTTTCTAACGTCAAAATAATGCATTCCTTAACCCAAAAGTAGTATGCTTTCTTAGTGATTCTGTTGGTTCTTGCTGAGTTGGCTGCTGCAGCTTTCATATTCTTTGACCATAGCTGGAAGGATGTGAGTTTCCTTTTATCTTCTCTTACCTGTTTTCTTGCAATCATTTTGATGATTTCTAATATTTTAATTCTCTGCAGCTTGTTCCTGATGATAAAACTAGGAATTTTGACATTATATATAACTTTTTGGAGGATAACTGGAAGATAGCAAAATGGGTTGCTCTTGGAGTTGTTATTTTAGAGGTGAGTGTGGCTTCCAACCTTTCAGTCTCTTTAGCACAGGAAAGGTGAAATAGTAGTCAATGCATCATTCACATTCCTTCTTTTATGTTGATTAACATTATTTGATTATTTGTATTTATGTTTTTTACTACTGTGTCATTGTTAGTAAGTTTTTGTTTTTTCTTTTGCATTTTTTCAATGGTTTGAGGGCTTTGAAATAGCATTTTGATTGAATTTGAAATGTATTTATTCTAAAGATTACATCATCTTAAAACATTATAGTAGATATTTGGTTGATTGTCTAGTTGTATACATGCTAGTCGTGATGCCTACATTGTGTAATGCCTTAAATATCATTGCAGTTATTAATCTTCTAAGGAAATCTGCACTCTCTTGTGATCTGTGCCGATTTCTATCATGACTCACGAACAATATGATTATGACCTGCAGGCCTTGGTATTCATGTTAGCTCTTATAGTAAGAGCTGTAAACAGGCCCATTGAATATGACAGCGACGACGATGTGTGCATTGCTCCAAGATCTTCCATCCGACAACCATTAATGAATCGGCAGGGAGCCCCAGCAACTGGAGTACCTGTACTTGGCACACTTGACCATCGCCCTAGCAGAAACGATGCGTGGAGCCAACGAATGAGAGAAAAGGTAATCTCTTCACCGTGCAGGAAATTTGGCAATTGTGTTTGCAGTTTGTTACATTTGTTGTGGTTCTAATTCTTCTCTTTGTGCCTTTTGCTTCTGAAAGTATGGTCTTGATACCTCTGAGTTCACATACAACCCATCAGACCCAAGCAGATACCAACAAGCCACTGTTCCTCCGGCAGAAGAAAGGGGCCACTGCACCATTCTATGAGTTTTTGTTTTTGTGTGCGCCGTTTGGTAGTCTCTTCTTTTCGATGTGTGAAGCTTTCGAGAGTTATTTCCCTGTTTGATTGAATGTGTAGGTTAACTGTTTAACTCAAGAGTTTACTGCCTAATCTCACTGCATAAACTTCCTGCTGCTTTTTTGCTGTATCCGTTTTCGTCTGAGATAACATCACATTGCTGCACCACACCGTCAAGTTAAAATAGTATGTGGATTGATGAAAGGCAGGAAAAAGAGAGGAGAGAGGAAGAGGGGATCGCGTGATTGATATCGTAGTTGCTATTGTTGTCAAACACATCGTTATCATTATATAGTGATCGAAACAATTGGGGCCAAGTTGGTACGTCCCCAACAAGAAGCAATTAATTCTAATAACTTGGCTCAAATAATGTGTGTCTGGGCCTACCGCCATGAGGAAGCGACCGTGAGCACCCGGCCCTTCCAACCGAACCCCAGACCGTGACCTCCGGCTTCGTCTCTCATGGTGAACCCCCGATTGGACCGGATCGATGCGAGCCGGGCCTTGACCGGTTCGATCACGGCCGGCCCCAGAGGAACCGAGTCGAACCCCGCCATCCCCATCCGCGCCCGCCACTTTCCGAAGACCTCGCACCGCTCTACCCGGTCCGCCCCTTCGTTGGCCACCGAGTTGAGCGCCCGCCGAGCCAAACCGGCCTCGACTCGGGCACGTTGCACGCTGTCCCGGGCCACGGTCGCGTCGAGCGACTCCAGCAGCGCGCCGTAGTGGGCGCACGCCTCGCCGAAGCGGGCGGCGAAGGCGGCGGTGCTGGTGTTGATCTCCTGCTCCACCAGCGCCACCACGCGCGGGCGGAGGGCGCGCACGCGGCGGAGGATCTCGTCGCGGGGGTTCGTCGGGGAGACGCTCTCGTCCGGGACCCGTGATAGGGCGAAGGCCAGGTTCACCACCAGGGCCTCCCCGGGCTCGCACCTCAGCGCCGACGCGTCCAGCTCCGCGGCCCGCAGGTGGACGACGTTGAACCGGACCGCCAGGCCGGCCCTCTCCGCCAGCTTCTCTAGCCGGTTGCCGACGGCCCTTAGGTTCCCCCCGCTGTTGTTGTTGGTGAACGGGGACGTGGGGTCCGAGACGGCAGTGATCCGGAGGGAGGGTGCGCCGGCGGCGGGGCGGAGATGGTGGCGTTCCGCGAGAGCATGGAGGAGGACGGCGTACTGGCCGCCCTGGCCAACATCGAAGTCAAGGATATGGATCATGGGCTGCTCCTTGGTGGCCTCCAAAATCGCCAAATTGGCGGTAATAAGGCCGAGCTTGAAGCAAGGGGAGAGTTCGTAGAGCATCTGCGTTGCCGCGAAGTGCTCCGCGCTGCAGAGCGCCGCGATCGGGAGAGAGGAACTCCCAGCCTGCGGCAGCTTTAGCCGAGAGATGAGCGCGTCGACCATCACCGCCGTCAGTCGCTGCTCCGCGTCGCCTCGGGGGTTCGCAACGCGTTTCAGGACGACGAGGTTCGCGGTGGCTGTCTCGAGGTTCCCGTCCGCGATAGCAGCGGCGGTCTCGAGGAGCATCTGCCGCGAAGATGAAGCCACCGACGACGAGGAGGGCGAGCACGAGGCGGAGGACGAGACGGTGGTGGAAGAGGAATTGGTGGGCGAAGCGGAAAGCGGGTTCTTTGCCGACGTCGGCGGCGTGATGAGCTGCTGCATCGCCTCGCTCCACTCGGCCGTGGTCACGGCCGAGCCTGACGTGCTGACATCGCCTTCCCCCTCCTCCTCGTCCAGTAGCAACCGCCGCTCCAGTTCCTGGAGCCGGTCGCGCACCGCGGCGGAGGGCCTGCTCTCCGCCCCCGACGCGGCCACCTGCGGCGCGGAGGATTGCTCTCTGGATCGCGCCAGCCCGTCTTGTGTCAACTTCGCCGAAATCAAGGAGGAAGAGGAGCCAGAAGAGAGATCCGCCGGGGGAAGAGGAGGCGAAAAGTGGGGTGAAGCAGGGGAGTTGAAGAGCGTCCTCTGCTTCACGGATCGAAGGAAGAACGTGTGCTGCAACTGCATCTGCTGCTGCAGCTGCAGTCTGTCCATTTCTGTCAGCGACCGCTTCAGCAGGCCGCCATTTCCAGCTTCCGACCGCGCCGGGATCGGCAGCCGCACTCCGTACCCGAGCTCCCGCCCGGGAAACCCCGACGCCATAGCCAAACACCTTTCGATCAAACTCACAGAAGAGAGAGACGGAGACAATTGAAGGCGAAAGAAATCTAAAAGGAGCGGTTCATGGCGACTCTCCTCTTGTCCTCTTCCCTCTCTGCAGCAGAGGACTCCACCACCATCTCTCCTCCTTTCTCACCTTCTCTCTTCTCTCTCACGTAATAAAGAGGGAAAGCTAAAGACAGGTACCATTAATAATATGTTTGTGCCCGTCCCCCTCGCTTGCTCTGTTGAAACACACGGATACGCTTGCTTGCCAAGCAATGGTCATTAATAAACAGAGAGAAAAGAGAGAGAGGAACTGCGCGACGCTGGCGAGGTATCAGCCACTAGCAGCGCAGATGCTCTCCCGGCCCTGATAAGCTCCTTGTGAGGCACGACACCGAACAACTCGAGTGCGTTTCTCCCCGACCCAATCAGAACGCCGCTGCTTCCTGCGGGCACTCGACGGAAGCGAATCAGGTTGCGGCGGGAGCGCGTGGTGGGATCCGTGAGCAGCCGGAAGTTATTTCGCGACCAACCACCCCGACCCACCTCCCCTGCTTCATGTCGTGACTCGAGCAACCACTCCCGCCGCAGGATGCGCGCCACGTTTGCGTCTGGTGGCTTCGGTCGCGTGCCGTCGACGCATCTCGTTGTGAGAAAAGGCCGGAAAGGATCATCCTGACACGTGTGCGCCAGCAGGAGTAGAGCCCAATTATTTGTTGACCATTTCGTGCGGCGGTGGACCCACCGCGACGTCGTCTCTCACGTGGTTAGCGGCCCCACCCCCATAAATGAGGGGCCGCTTCAAGAAATATACCACGTGTCTTCCTTCCTGTACGCGAATCTAAAAGCATTTCGCGGTGCTGCGGCTCTCCGCGTGCGATGTTCCTAAGCTGGACCCTGCCTGGCGTTGGACAGCTGAGCCATGCGCTGTTGTTGGCTCCACCAACTTGCTTGTCGAAGAGAGAGAGGTGAGTCCCATCAAGGCGTTGTGGAAGACAGACTCATGGGCCGCCGCTGATCCAGTGGCGGACTGCCACGTGGATAAAAAAGGGGAATCTTCTCTCGTGCCGAATTTTAATAGATTAACTAACGTATTGGAACGCAGAATCTTTTGCAAACATAACGGTGATTAGGATGAAACTACAAAGGATAATGATTAAACGGAGGAAGTGCATTAGGGACCTCATTAAACATGTCGGATCGGCTTGTATAGAACGAAAATTGTTAGTTTTGATTGTCCGAATACTCATTCGAAGCTCATCCAAATGGTGTGAGACATCTCTATTGAATTTTGGAAAACAATATCGGCGCTTTCTTGGTAAAAATTTTTTAATGTTATACATATAGGGCTTTGAGGATTTAAATAGATGCTGAATCTATTCAAGAACAAATATACTTGTTTTCATATTGAAGGATATCTCACAATTAAACAAGATAAGTCTATTATGAATATTAATAATATGAGAAGAAATGAAAATAAACTTAGGCACATTTTACTGAAAAATAAAAAGAGAGTTATATGCAGTTGTTTTACCTAAAATACTCTATACGATTGAAACATTATGATTTATGATTAATATAGAGGAGGAATATGTTTGGTGAGAGATGACAACTTGGACTCAGATCCTGTCCACTTTGTCTCACTCATTTCAGTAGGCTTTCTCCCTCTATTTAGGGGAAGGTGCCACCCATGAGTATAAGAACCTGATTCTCTGGATTGAATTTGATCCTAACATCAATTTGAGGTGGAAAGTATCCTCATCACCCTGTCACCACCCCAGTACCTAACAGCTTTTATGTGTTCCAATGAATCTCTTCGATCAATGAGGCATTCCAATGGTGGGGTAATGTCTCCAATAAAGGGTTTTGTTTTGGCAACAACAGATGTGACATGATAAAAATGGCAGGGCAGTGTTTAGAAATTTTGATTTGGTACATAGCACAGAAAAAAAAAAAAGGAGGTCATGAGAGGTTCAGAAACTATTAGACACCGAGTTTGAAGAGATAAAAGAATTATTGAAGCCTTTGCTGATAGAAAACCTTGAGATTTATTTACTTGAGATATTTAGCAACTTGCTACTATAAAAGTTGAAAGAGTAGTTTAAGTTAGGTAGATGATTGATGTCAAGCCAAACTGAAAACAATAGATAAGTAGCAGTACATGAGCTTGGAGAAGGAAGGGATTGCAGAAAGGGCTCTTTATAGGCCCCCTCTTCTTTTTGTTCATCGGTGCAGTCCACTTCGGCTCCTACCTCTTCAACCTCTTTTAAGCTAAGCTAAGGAGGGATTTCTCAACTATGAAAGAGTGCAAAACAAAACTTCATAGCATTGCTTGCATCAAACTTATTAAGTAATTTACTGTTTCTTCCGAATAGCATTCATCTTCTCACTGTTATGTAATTAGAGATATATGCTTAATTTTTGAGGTTCTCAAAGAATATATATGTGTGTATGCATATGTGAAGCTTAATATTTTAGATAGATAAACAAGTAAATCTTCTTTTAGTTTTGCATATATATCTGAAAATGATGTTCCCCAACACTTTTCAAGGATAACATTGTCGAGAGTTCTATTACTTTTGTTCCTGCGAATTTATCTTTTTTTTTTTGGGTAGAATAATTACTTTTAGTTGCTTAGTTTTCTTTTTTTTTTTTGGTGATGACCCCAAAAGTCTATTGTTATTCTTTAAATTTCATGGAGATATTTTTATCATTTGTATGATTAGGTTAATCAAAAACAACTTATGAGTAGGGAGCCTTTTTTTATCAAGAATTGAATGTGTTCTTGCAGTTATTAATGCTTAGATTTAGTAAATGTAAACCCAAATTAATGGCAATATATTCACTTATACTCTCCATGAAGCTAATCTATAAGTGAATTTTGTAGTGATATAATAGATGCCTTATTTGTATGCAGACTCTGCACATGAATTATTTTCGAGTGTTCTCATCCCTATCACAATTCTCTCTCCATATATCTTATTATCTCAATTATTTATCCATATCAATCCATCTCACTTTATCTTCCATCAAATGATATCCAAGAGAATGGATATTTGAGAACAAACAAGTGAGTTGGTAGTAAATGTGACAAAAGTGAAATCGAAATCGGATTCATTTTGTGTAGTTTTGGAATCGTTGGTTTTGATTTCGATTCTAGTTTTGAAGCTATCAATGTAGGCTTTGGTTTCCGTTTTGAAATCGTTGGTTCCGATTAGATCATTTGATCGTTGTCTTTTATGATTCCAATCGAAGTTTTGATTCAATTTGATCGCGGAATCATTGACCCATTTTGATTTTGATTTTGATAGGTTCATTTCGAAATGGGTTCGCCAACCTCATGCTTCTTCCACGAAACAGGCAAGAGTTCACGAAGACAGAGACAAGCGGTCAAACATATGGATAACCTAACAGAGGCGGCTTCATGTTTCGGTCTTCGTTGGTGGCTGCCATGGCCGAGCTTGTATCGTCATCATGTAACTCTCCAAAAGAATAATTGACCATTTAAGCAGTCATATATAATTGTGTTCACTGTAACTATTCATGTCCCATCATTTCATCAAGACACAGTCAAATAATGCTTAGCTGAGACGGCCATCGGACATCAACGAAAGAATAAGGTCTATTGACCTGTGCACGTCTCACTGCAGCCGTAGAAGCTTCGCCCACATCCCATGCTTCTCCACCGAGGGCAACAGGCGAGCCCTGCACAGAGGGCAGGTGATCTGACCCACGTCCACCCACCTGTCCATGCACTCGAGGTGGAAGCCATGGCCGCAGTTGCCGAGCTCCCTCACCTTGTGCGTCGCCTCCAGTTCTCCCAAGCAAATGACGCAGGTCGGGTCCCGATGCATTTGCCCCGTCATCGACAAGCTCCCAAACTCCACCACCCTCAGCCGCTTCTTTATCGACGAAGAGGGCGGGGCGGCGTCCTCGGCCGCCTCATGTAAGTGAAGCTCATATTCTCCCCAGGGGGTGATAAGCGGCTCCGGCAGCATGTAGAGCCCAAGATAGTGGAGGAGCAGTGAGATGGCATGTCGTACGTATGCAAGAATCAGGCAGAAGAAGATCACAGGCTTCGGCAGTACCGGATGAAAAGATCCATAAACGAAGCCCATCATTTACGGGTTGCACAGAGAGAGAGAGAGAGAGAGAGAGAGAGAGAGAGAGAGAGAGAGAGAGAGAGGTTGCTTTCTCTTTGGGTGCAGGAGAAGGGAAGAGGAGTCTATATATAGAGAGAGAGAGAGAGCTTTAGTAATTGGGACGCCATGAATGACTTCCTCGTGCTGTATTCTATCGTCAAAGTTTCACTACGAAGCACCGCTGCACGTGTAAAAGACGGAGCGGGTCTTTTTGTCGCAGTAAATGGCGAGTCAAAAATGGCGTCTAAGCACGATGTGATGATGTATCACATCTTTCATTGATCAAATTGGTGTACCGATTGACCGAGTCAAAACGTCATTACCTTAATATCATTATTGGCCCGATATCAGCCCATTATGAAGCCCAATAGTTTCGGATAATATTTTCGTGACCCCCTTGGCCTTCCACTCTCTCTGGCCATGGCGACCTCTCTCCGCCCCCTTGCTCGCCTTCCTTCTCCTCCTCCTCCTACTTCCACCGGCCGTGCCCTCTCCTCCTCTTTCCTCCCTGCCTTCTCCATCCCCTCCTCCTCCTCCACATACTCTTCCCTTCCGTTCCTCCGCTTTCGGCGCCCGCTCCCTGCCGTGAGGGCCATGGCGCCGCCCCCGAAGCCGTCGGGGAAAACCAAGAAGGGTGCGACTTCGGGCGGACGCAGTTCGCTCCCTCTGTCTCCGTTGTAATGTCTTCCATGATTAATCTATTGGATTTCTTGCAGTGGTCGGCATCGTGAAGCTGGCTCTCGAGGCGGGCAAGGCGACCCCCGCGCCGCCGGTCGGCCCCGCTCTGGGTTCCAAGGGTGTGAACATCATGGCATTCTGCAAGGAGTACAACGCCAAGACCGCCGATAAGGCTGGATACGTTATCCCCGTCGAAATCACCGTCTATGAAGTGAGCTGTTAGCTTCCTTTTCCTTTCCTAATTATAGAGATTACTGATGTCTTGATGGCATTTCCTGTTGAATTCTCGATTCCGATGGGAATTCGTTGTGGAGATTATGTGTTCTAGGTACTCATTTGAGTATGTTGGATTACTGATATCGAACATGACTTTGAGATACCTGTTTGCTTGCAGGATAAGAGCTTTACTTTTATCTTGAAGACTCCACCGGCTTCGGTTCTGCTCCTCAAGGCTGCAGGTGAATGCGTTGTCTAATTACTTCGCAGTCTCAGTGTTTCTTCATTAGTCGAAGTTTTCTAATCATTCAAGTAAATTGTGTCACCAAGTAGAATGCTCATTTTCTATACAGTTGGCTAATTTATCCAATTAAATCACATCAGTGTCTTCTTATCTTTGTCTTGTTTAGTTTGCTCTGATCATTGATCCATCAATAAGATGAGTTTAGCGCGCTAATGCATCTCTACAGCGCAGCTATCGCAGAAGCTGTTATGTAAATTCGACAGATATGGAGTCCACCAGACCTTAAGTCTTATGTTAATTTATAGGTCTAAGGGTTATCGAATGTTGTCAACTATTTGGAAATTAATTAGGTTCTAGAGTTTAGAGGATTGCGCTAAGGTCTTAGTCATGGAAATTGGAACTGAACTGATTTAGGAAAGTGCACCGAGAGTTTTTCGTAGACTGTTGTCTTAAAAGTTTTTAATATTCTAATTTCTAAGGAAAAAGGAGAAACAATATCAAATTAAACAAGCAGGAAAAGGAAGATGAATAAGAAGTACGAATTCTAAATGATGCCAATGTACGTCTAGATTAACAAGATAGAAACCACTTTCACTAGATGGACACTTGATCAACTTCCATAGCTATGTATTATAGTCAATTTACAAAAAGGAACTTCTTTATGTTATGGACAGGGCAGTTTCTGGGGCTCTATCCCAAATTTTGAGCTCTAATACCTCTGGAGCTTTTTGCTATTGTTTTTCTCATGTAAAAATATCATTAGGAAAAAGAACTGTAAGTTTCTGAGACTGCAATTCTGTGATCATCAATATGCTTCGGGTCCTATATGGTTGAGGTTATCCCACCACGAGGCAGCATTGTGTTGTTGTTTGTGATCCATCTTATCTACGAGAGTCCCATACTCTCATTGATTAAAGTTTTTTCACTTGTGCTTCATGCTATAACTGAAAATTTGCATTTTTCATTAAATCATATAAGCTTCTCCTGTTTGGATAGAGTTTTGTCCATGAAACATGATTTATTTTGGTAATTAGTTGTTTGTGGCCTTTTCTGAAACTATAGACACCTACACATGTGTAGACCTTTAGAAACAGCAAATGTTTCGGCTCTAGTGTTTTGTACATCAGCAGATGCAAAGCTTAGTATAAGGCAGTATAGAGAAAATGAAAGGATTAAGGAATACCACATGGTCAGTGCATTCTGTAAATAATAAATAATTTGTTAGCATCTGTAGTTATGATGAAGTCGGGAGCTATTTCTTATATGGAAGACTGTATCCTGCATAAAAGCTATCATGCGATATGATGTGCATGAACAACAAAGTTTGTGATTTGAGTTCTTGACCACATCGTTGCACTTTTCTTATCTGAACTACTGTTACACACCATTATTTTTTGTTTTGGGGCCCATAATTATTAGACAAAAGTCTACTACATACATTTTTTGACATTACTTTCTACTCATTTGCTTGCACTAGATTCTCGTTTGCTTTTCTAGATTAAAAATCTCAAATGAAACTTGAGATAATTAGGCTTAACCTTGGACTCAGCTTGCTAATTTGAGGCAAATAGTAGGTAGATAATTATTTTTTTCACTTCCATATATAGTGGGAGGAAATGAGATGTGGAACCGATTCCTCTCGTCAAGCAGGTCTTTCAGAAAGGAGAAAACAACATCTCCTCCCGTACTATATATTCCTTAGATTGTAGATTAGTGTTGCCTGTTATTGTTTGAAGGGGTTTCTTATCCATGCCATCTTCCTAATGTGTAGGAGTTGAGAAAGGTTCCAAAGAACCAAAACAGGAGAAGGTGGGGAAGGTAACCATCGAGCAGCTGCGAGCAATAGCAACCGAGAAATTACCAGACTTGAACTGCACCACCATTGAGTCAGCCATGCGAATTATCGCAGGTACAGCGGCTAACATGGGCATCGACATCGATCCACCAGTCCTTGAGCCGAAGAAAAAGGCAGTCGTTTAAAATCTGTAGTTTGCATGCACTAACTTCTTGTCAAAACTCCTCTCGACGGATCGAAACATGAACTTCTGCATGGGACTTCCTATTTGATCCATTCAATTTTCTTCTTGTTTCTCCTGCTGGTAGCTATCGATCAGATGCATGAGACTCTCTTATAAAAGCTCAAACTTTAGGAGTAATATGTAGAAATAAGAAGAGTTTAAGTTTTCAATGATTATTTGGACATGTAAGCAAGAAAAAGGCATTCTTGTTTAAATGTGTTGAAGTGTTTATTCCACATTTTTTAGGTTTGATATGGTTTCTATTTATAAGTTTTACATGGATCTTATACATAACACTGTCAATTTCGGTTTCAATCCGGAACAAAAAATGTGGAGGGTTGTGTGTATCAATGACAATCTGTGCAAGATTATGTTAAATCTTAGGAATATAAATTGTATCTGATTTTAATATATCTCAATGACAATAAAAGTTAAAGAGTTATGACAATAAGAGGCATTCCGATGAAGGACAGGAAGTTACACGTGCCTGTATAGAAATTGGTGTTTAAATGCATGTAAACATATTGATCGATCCGTACCGTTAACGAGATCGGGCCCGGTCCGACTTAAGCGCTGACCATCAAAAGAGGAGGTCACCCGGTTAACGGATTCGGATGCGGATCACGAGCAACAAGTGCGCCCGGTACCACTTTCGGGTCGAGCGCCGCTCGGCTGCCTCCGCAAAAACAGCCTACAGCAAGATCTACTGACGTGGCTCACCCGCGGGACCCACCCGTTGACAAATCTTTGGAACCGACGAAAACAGGCACCGGCAACTCCCACTTATCGAGAGGAAGATGGTAACAATGTGGGCATTTAATGCTTAGGAAAACGTTTGACCGGGCTAGCAGTGGACTATAAGATGACTTTTATTGTGCGGCTTCGGGGAAAGGAACACAAACTTGAATGCGTGGTTAAGAGCAGACATGGCTGGTGTAGCAAGCGAAGATGAAATCACGAGCGGTGTCGTAGAAGAATTGATGGAGAAGGACTCAGATCAGGCTCTGCGTGACTCTGTGATTGTCTGTCCTCCATTTTAGGACATGTCGAACAGCTGATCTATCTGAGAAACATGAAGCTGGATATCACTGGGGAAAAGATCCCTGGTTAGATCCAGTGGATCGATGTTCTGACTTTATAGGGGCGTAGATGGAGATCTCTATTCATGCAGATGGTGATGGTTGTAAGAGAAAGAGCATCAACGAGTACACAGAAATGGTTTGGATACATCTTTCTGCTCTTCCTTGTACGTAAAGATCTAATGGTGAATGCAGCTCCGTGCTCACAACGAGGAGGAGCATGCCAGTGTCTCGCCGACAGCACGTGACGGCTCGAGCAGCGGTGGTGCAGTCCTCGGCTGAAACCGAGGCGCGCCCACGGGTGGAGTACTCCGGATGCGGCAATTGGCGTCGCCTTCGGTGTCAGGACAATCCAGGTTCACGCCGAACAACCTAACTCGCTTGACGGCGGCCTGGCCGCGAACGAGGGGCGCCGACGGCACGCCGCTGCTGCCTGCCTGTTGCACCTCCTTCTGCGGCGGTCTCGCGGCCAGCGGTCTGAGGTACAGAGGGTGCCGGCTGACCGAGCCCAAGCTCGCCGCAACGGGGGTTCGTGCCTGCCAGCTGTTGCAGCTGCACTGCCAGACGGGCCGCGCAAAGGACAGTGCAGGGAGTGGAACCCGTGGCAGGGCGCGGCTCTGAGGTCGTCGCTTCCAGTCGATGTAAAGGCGGTGGCGTCCCGCCTCGCCGACGCCGCGGCTGAAGGAGACGGTGTCCCCGGCATCGAGGCCCTTCTCTTTGACGAATCGGCTCCACCCCTTGGTCATCACGTAGCTCTGGCTGCTGTTCCAGTAGGAGTAGCGGAAGCGCCACGGCTTCCCCGTCCGGTCCTCGAAACATAGCAGCAGGCCCTTCTCGTTGGCCAAGGCATCCATCGGAAGGTGCCTCTCGGCGTGCTGCTTCGGGACCACCAGCCGGTTCAGCTTGCCGACGTCGCTCGGCGTCACGACCTTGTCGAACATGTGCTCCTTCAGTATGAAAGAATCATTGCCCATGCCGTCGATCGACCTGACGCCGGTGGACAACGATGACGGCGAAGGGGAGCAAGGGACGAAGGGGGGGTGTCTACAGAACTCGACCTGCTCATCTTCCTGATCAGTGTCGTAAAAGCTCTCTCTTTTTCCATGCGTGAGTTCCATATCTAGTGACTTACTTCTCCTTCACAGCCTGAAAACAGAAAGAATCAACGAGAAGGAATCAGGTACCTTTAACGGAAGTAGAAAAAGACGAATCCACGAGAGATGCAGATCTTGACAGGGTCAATGAAGCACACAATTTTGATAGGTATATAGGAAGGGCATGACAGTAGCAGCTGAAGAAGAAGAAGAGATGCAGAAAGCACTGTTCTGAAACGCATATAGGAGGAGGATGGTAATAGCAGCTGTATAGAATGGAGGGGGTTAAGGGCGAGGGACCATGAATCATCTAGTTGAGCTCATGTGAGCTTGTTCTTATCATCAATCATATATATATGTATGTATGTATATACATACATACATATATATATATTGTAGAAGAAGATTTTGCACACTTAAGAGAGATGAATGGTGGTGTTATTATTATTAGGATATGCATCTTCTAATTTCCTGCAATAACAAGGGAAGATACATTGATGAATACTTCAATTCCTTCAAAAGAGGTTCAGTGAGGACAATTGGTTGATGCTCCCTTACTACCTGTCATCAACTGTTACTTGATGCTGAGGAAGTCCTCAGAGACATCGAACCTGTCGTGTGGTCCTCCTATTCTTAGAATACTTCTCCACAGTACTTCAAGATAATTCCCAAGTCAAGGCATCAAACATGGCCTTGCTCTGTGTGCAGAAACCAATTGCAGCTTCTCTAATGTGCATTATACACTCAGATTAACATATTACAAGCGCCTCATTTCCTCATATTATATGCATGGAGGAGAGTATCTGCCATGGAAGCTTGGAGCTCAGAATCATCCACATCAGTTCATTCACCTGCCTACCATCCCTCTGGATCTCTTCTACCTATGGAATTATATTACTCGCTTTAGATTAGCTCACATGCCAGTCTTTCTGCTGCGGAAAGGATCCATTTCCCATTGTTATTAGCTCGCATTAATGAGTACTGTTCACGTATCATCTTTCTGCTGCTTGTCTTCCCTTCAGAGTTCACTTGCATCTTAGTGGATGCAAGTAAGAAGAATCATAGTGAGAGAAATTGTTAAGAGTAATGAAAGCCAAGATTTTATTTGGATTTCCCTTACTGATGATACTGAAGTCAGACGATGCAAATTATATGTAGTGATTGAAAGAAGAAGGTGGCATGTTCTGGGACAAGATGGATCTACTCATGTTCAGGAATATGAGAAACACCAAGATGGAAACCAGCATGGTGCAGCTGATCCCGAAGGACGTGAATGCGCTTTAATCATGATATAGCAAACAAATGGGCACTTTGCAGCAGAGAACAATGGAATGAGAGCTTTTCTTCTCCATGTAGATAGCTCAAAAGAGTCCTTGCCCAGAGCATGGCTCCCCTCAACAGTAAGTTGGAAGCCAAGGAGCTGCACCACCAATGCCAAACATGGAGACATGCCATGCATGCACGGATCTGAAGCCAACCTGAACAAGATCCCTTTCGCAAGGCCCCCGTGATGCCTTCCTTTCATGGCCCCTATCATGAGAGCGGGACCCTTCTCTGAGTGTGACAACTGAGGTGGAGATAGCAAACGATACAGTGTATAGTGTTCACCTCACAAGGTAGACTGTACAAAGATAGGTAGGTGAAGGAACGATGGTAGAGTAGTGTGGACCAGCACAATGAAGTAACTTGAAGTGCCACAATTATTGGATCGCCGTTTACCCAGGGATGTGGACTTGGGAACCATGCATCGTTGCTGTAAGCTTGATGTTGTCCTGATGCTGCGAAGAAGAAGAAGAAGAAGAAGAAGAAGAAGAAGCAGTCATCGGATGGGGAATCCAGATCACCATGAATGATACCACCATGTGGGTGGTGCCACTTGGAATGTCCCCAACCTCTCCCATGGCAGGCCTGGCCACCGAACTCATTATCCGTCATAACTCACTTGTAGGTGTACGATCCCAGCCCGGCCACTCCATATCAATATGAAAGAGAGGTCTCCTCTGGAGTGGAGACACAGAAACCAGGTGGGGAATGGCCTTTAAAGATAGAGACTGGATGATGAGTCATCGGGGACCGGCGTTCGTAAGTGTCACCGCTCCATCCCTCTGTCATCATTTATTCAGATGAGCCCTTTATTCTGATGTATTCATACTAGCTGACTACGTGAGCATTATTACAATACAGAGCACGAGAAACTCCGCAGCAAAGAAGAACCAAGAGCGAACGATGTCTCCGCTTCATCCTCCTCCTCTTTTAGTTGGAACAGCGTCCCGGTGGAGATCAACTCCAGGCATCAAGCGCAGTTGCCCTCTCTACCCTCCTGCAATTCTGAGTAAAAACGGTTGAGCCGTCGCTGTTGGGTCGCGTTTTCTGCCATCATACAAGAGAGATTACAGAGAGAGAGAGAGAGATAGACAGAGACAGAGAGAAAGAACAGTTGTAACTTTTACCGCAAATGTAAAGAGTCGATGACATCTTTAGTAGCAGGCAAAAAGCTGCAGCTGCTCCTCCCGAGAGTTGATGACAGTAAAGTGTATGCTACTGTTCGTTTGTGTGTTTCGGACTGCTGCTGTTAAGAAACCACATCGAGCCGTGAAAAAATTACAACAATTTTTGTGGTTTTGGAGTGAAATTTGGATCCATGTGGATTGCAAAAGAGGTTGGACGTGACTCTGCGAGATATATATATATATATGTATAATCTGTGTGTGTGTGTGTGCATCACTGTACGTAGCATGGGTCTACATAACATCTACGCAGCATATGGATGCAGACAACAACGCCTGACACATCAATGAATGCTTACGTACTCTTAATTATTTAGATGTGAAACAGCAGGCAGTAGCCTCAGATCACCGGTCATTTCATTAATTGCATGGCAGCTCAGTGGCGGGCTGAACTGCCATTTCCTTTCTTGTCTCTTCGGTCTCTACGATATTGGTCTATGATAGATGTCATAAATGGTTTTGGTACATGATTAAGATATTTCTTTTTGCATGCACAGTAGGCTTGAGAAATCAGCAGACTGAAAATGGAGAAGAGTGGCGAGTGCAATCTTGACCAACAAGCTGGGGCTCGAGATGAGATGAAAACAGAGTCACTCAGTGTAGATTAGTATCCATCTTTATACATTCTTGCAATAGCATCATGGTCACCTTATCCAACCATGGAAGAGGTGATAGAAAGCTGAGTTGAACACTAATCAGAATGATCAGTGATGGGTCATGCATGAATCAGCATCAGCATCAACATCTCTCCGAGCTCTATTCCATCAAAATTGTCTTTCATTTTTTGTTGTTGTTGCAAATCATGATACTTCATACTACCATCAATCTTTAAGACTTCAGCCTATGTTATAAGAATTCTGAACCGGGCAACAGATGCACTACTGCAAATTTGTTTCATATTAGGTTACATATTCTACTTATAGTGATTGATGTTTGAAGACTGGTAAAATAGTAATAGACAACTCATCTTGCCTTATAATGGACAACCGTGAGGCATATGATTGGATATGTACTACTTTTAGCTGTATTAAAGCACTGTATCAACCTCATAGCAGTGTTATTAGGTAGATAGCTCATGATCAAACTGTTTCAGCTTGTTAGCTGCATTAAAGGTGCTGTATCAACCTCATGAGAGCATCACAGACCATTTAGTTGCACTCTGGCATAAAAGCTAGAATCTGTGCAAGTGAAAAGCATCCAGCATTCAAGGGTCTCCAGAACCTGTGGGTGTCAGAATTATCCCCAGTCGAGCATTCAAGGGTCTGGTGTTCACTCTTCCACCGCTACTTCGATGACAGTGAAGCACGGAGTTGGAGCAATGGTAGGCGCACTCTACAATTATATCACTTCATGTGAGGTTCATGTTCAGCAGCAGATTCATGAGTGAATTCTGCATTAAGCTGTACATCTCTCAGTTCTGATGCATCCTTTTCACAAGATCGTATCCTACCGCACTGGAGGATATAATCTGTCACCAATATGTGGCGTATGAAGAACAAACCCTCAAAGGTTCCCATCCATGCAATTTGTCAGAAAGTTACAGGGGGAATATATTCAAAACCAGTGACTGTTGCTTCCTCGTTCGATTCCAAAGTGTCGGAAAGTTGGAAGGGGAATATATTCAAAGCCGGGTATAATCTCTCTCAACATGCCATGCATGCTATAAGATTTCTTTTATTAGATTCTGGTGGGAGATGGCCTTATTCACCAGGGAAAGAATGATAAGAATTATTTTCTTGTCTCTTCCTTGGAACAAAATCCTCTTCACAAAGATGATTGATTCCCTCTCTCTACCATTAAAGATGACTGTTGTCTGTGTCTTAATGGTTATCTGAGTCATTTAGTAGCTTGAAGACTAGTTCTACTTGGATTCGACAGCAAGTTTTTCTGTAAAGAGGCAAGGAAGAAGAAAAAAGAGAATTAAAGGAAGTCAGATGCCATCAGATAACCACCAAGATGTGTTGTCTGAAAGCTGAGGTAAACTTGTTTGCAGAAGGAGATCAAGTAATAAGATGGAATATCTTGTGTTCATCCACTACCTCCCAAATGCTAAGATTATTATCTTATCATCAACTTGCTTCAAATACAAATTGTTCCCCATCATTCCTGGAAATTAATATTTCTTGCTTTCTTAACCCACACGTTAGACCAAAAAAAAGAAAGAAACTAAATCATTTGATCAATGGTATTTTATTAGAAAAATCTCTAATATTAATTTTTTATTCTAGAAAAAATCTCTAGAATAACTTGATCACTTACATATGCTATTCAAAAAATTGATAATTAATTATCAAAAAATTATTTATAAATAAAAAAAGTAATTATCTTAAAATCACCATGAAATGATTTTAAGTTGATTAGTACTATTTTTATATTTTTTAAAATTTTTATATTTTTATTTATGGGACTGTCATCAGATAAAAAATCAATACTAGACATTTCTTTCGGTATAATATCGTTTGACCAATGCTTATGCACACAGTTGAAATGTGAGTGGTAATGCAAGCATAATATTACTGTTGATCCACTTAAAAGAATCCCCATCTTAAAACATCCGAAGGAATATGATACTTCGGAATAATCAATCACAAAGTTGGGAATGGAAGGAATAGTGAGAGCTTCAAATATAGTAAAATGCAGTCATTCGGCTGCTTTCATGACCATGCTCTTCGTGCAATCTTTAGCTGTTCATCAGAAAATTCTACCTTATCTTTAGCATACCAGAGGTTGATCAAGCAAGAACTATGACACCAGTAGACTTTGATTTCTGTTTGCACAAGGAGGATCAAAGGA